CTTCTTCAATGCTGAATTACCAGTTTTTCATCTCCATTATAAAGGGTATATAGTTTAAAATAAGATACTCTGATCCCCAATGATATAAGGTTCTAGACTAATACCCTATAAGTCAATAAAATCAGAGAACCTAGCAGGGTATGTTGGTGCACATCTTTAATTCCAGCACTCATACGAAGCAGATACAGGAGGAACTCTGAGTTTGAGGCTGGCCTGATCTACAGAGCAAGTTCCAATACAGCCAGGGCTACACAGAGAAACCACCATGAGAAAAAGAAAAAAAAAAAAAATTAAATAAATAAATAAATAATAAAAGAATCAAAGGAAGCTAAAACACTTTAACAAATAAATTCAAGGGAGAACTTCATTTTTAAAAATATTATTATTACACAGCCAGGCATGCCTTCAATCCCAGAACAAAAACAAACAAACAAGCCAAACCATAAAATCTCATAAGTTTTCTGTGAGATTTCACTGACCCATCTATATAACCGTATTTTTTTTTTTGTTTTTCTGAGACAGGGTTTCTCTGTGTAACAACAGCCCTGGCATGTCCTGGAACTCACTCTATAGACCAGACTGGCCTCAGAGATTAGCTTGCTTCTGACTTCAAAGTGCCAGGATTACAGGCACGAACCACCAATGATAGGCTCCACAGTCATTTTTGGAAAATATGTTAAGCTAGACTACATAGCAAGTTTGAAGTAAGCCTGGGATATACCAGGCTGTCCCCCCCATTTTTTTTTTTTTTTAATTAAACTAAGAAAAAGCTATGTCAAAAATAAAATGAGGGAGCCAGAGGGATCTCTGAGTTTGAGGCCAACCTGGTCTACAGAGCAAGTTCCAGGACAGCCCGGGCTACACAAAGAAACCCTGTCTCGAAACAAACACACAAATCCAAAACAGGAATGAGGGAGTTGTTTCTTGCCCTAATGCCACATACAATTTTGAAAATATTTCATGACACAGAAACATACATTAGATGTGTAAATACAAAATAAAACAAAAGGATAGCTAATACAATTTATATATTAGGAGAAAAAAATAAAAAAATACCAGAATATTACCAATTAGATGATAAATGTAAGTTTCTTTTTTTTTTTTTATGTAATGCTCTACTTCACAAGTTGCATTAACAAGAAAAATACTTAACGAGTCATCCCCCCACCCATGGTTATACAGAAACAATTCCTTTTGTGAGTAGTATGCTTTTCCCTAAATCTTCAACTCTTACTAACAAAATCATCAAATGCCAAAATTTACATAATAATGGTGGTAAAATCTTCAAGATGTTGCTTACAAGACACAAAGGCTGAGCTTCCCTAATAGACAAACTACTCACTAATTAGGAGACAAAGGACTCCTAATTAGTGCCAAGCCAAAGCCAAGGTGAAAAGCAGCAGAGAAATTAATTATAAACTTCTAAACACCAAGCCATGGAAATAAATATTGAGTACCCCCAGTATCTGCAATCAGTTGAGATTAACAATGGAAAAGAGAAAACACAGTAGCCTCCTAATAGGTAGACACTGCAAACAGCTGCTTTGAAGAACAATAAAGACCAACCAGCTCCCACCAATAGATTCAAGGCACTCATTTTCTCTATGCCAGTTATCTGCCTCATTCCACTTGGTTAGGGTGCCTGACCCAAGTTTAATATAAAGCTATGTCATTATTACGCAATGGTGCTCACAGAAAAGATTACTCAGAAACATTTCCAAGGGTGCTTTCCCTAATTCATTTCTTTTTTCCATTTATGTAGTAAGGGATGATTCTAGCCAGGAGGTGGTGGTGCACATCTTTAATTCCAGCACACCAAAGGCAGATGAAGGTGGATCTGAGTTCGAAGGCAGCCTGGTCTACAGAGTGAGTCCCAGGACAACCAGGTTAGTAACACAAAGAAACCCTGTCTCAAAAAAACCAAGGGATAAAACAAGATGATTCCAGTACTCCCCCACACTCACCCCTTCTTGAGCCATTTACTTCTGCCTTTTAAGGTCTGACTGGTCAGTAGAGCAGTAAGGGGGGGAAAGTGTATGTAACAAGGAGTTCAATCCATGACTGACTGCAACAATCAAGGTAGCTCACTAGCTTTGGATTAGTCCAGTTTTTTTGAAGCTGCCTCAGTTTTGCCTCTTTCTTGAGCTCCAAACCTCTTTCAAGGTACCTCCTCTGGATGGTTCCCCACAGCTTAGCCAAATCTAAAAACTGCATTTTCACATGTTAAAAGACTAATTTTAAGACGTTAGTCCTATTTGTTCTAAATAAGATAAGGAGTTAATTGTCAAAGAAGCACAGTGGAAAACTTCTATTCTTACAGATACTAACCCACTACAAAGTTTGTCAAAGAAAACTATTACCTAGGGTCATTCATCCCACGCCTTTAGTGAGAAATGCCAGATTTAAGGGCATTTTCATCATCGTCATATTTTTAAACAACACACACTTCCAACCAAGAATTTGAAAATCCGTATTTTTATCAAATATTGATGAGCTGTAAATTGGTACACCACCTACATTGACTAGTAAAGATGAAAATACCACTTCCATAAAACCAAGCAACCCTAATCTTAAATATATATGACAACCAAATACATGTAAATGTTCATAGTAGCACTAATATCTATAAACTAGAAGCCATTTAGATGTTTACCAGCATGGGATAGAAAATTATGGAATATCAACAAAACAATACAGAAATGGACATCAACTACCAGTGTTGCACACATAAACAATGGTTAAGGCAGAAAACAATAATAAAGTAAACTTGGGAAGCAGAGATAGGTGCATCTCTGAGAGTTCAAAGCCAGCCCAGTCTACATGGTGAATTCAAGAACAACCAGAGTACATAGTGATAACCTATCTTGAAAACAACAATAATATTCATAAAACAAGACTGCATGTGTATATACACAGATTAAAAAAAAAGTTTAGGGATACAAAGGTAGTAAATATAAAGACAAAAAACAAGATTATCAAGCAGTAGCTAAGCACATTGGTTGCTCTTCAGAAGCTCTGGGTTTGATTCCTGGCACCTACCTAAACAGCAGCTCATAAAACTGACTCTAACTCCAGTTCCAGGGGATCCAACATTCTACCCTATTCTGGTTCTGAGGACACTGCATGTACATAGTGCCCAGACATATATGCAGACAAAACACCCATACACATTAAAAAAAAAAAAAAAAAAAAAAACAATGAGATTGAGTTTAGCTACCTCCAAAAACTGAGGATGCTATGAGGAAGAATGGATACAGGGATGATGGCATTCTATTTCTTAGATGTAGTTACACTAATCTGATCTGTAAACAGTGCATAAATATTTCATAACCTTAAGGGAGGGCGTTTTAGTGTGCCAGGCAGGGTTTGATCTCCAACCCACTTAGAATGGGTTTGGTGTCAACATACTTATTATAATCCCAGCACCTGGGAGGCAGCGACAAGAGGATCAGAAGGTCAAGATCATGTTCCACAGCAATAGGCCAACCCCAAATTCCTAAAACCCTGTCTCAAAGAGAAAAAGATCAGCTGTCTAAGTGGGTCCACAGAACCATTCCCTTCCCCTTTGAAGAAAGCATAAATCACATTTTTTTCTTCATGCAGTCAAGTTAGTTTAATAAAACAAATCACAACCCAGAGCCAGAGGTAGTTTAGTGGTAAAGTGCATGCTTAGCATATTCAAGACTCTAGTTTCAAGTCCCTGCACCAAATAACAAAAAACAAACAAAAGCCTACTAAAAACAGAAATTATAATCACATATTAGAGGAAAATATTGAAGCTCAGAGGACTTAACACCTGGAACTAAATGCAGGAGGGCAAATAAAAGGTAATACCTCATTCTAGGACAACTCAGAAACAGTCACAGATAAAGCATGGCCATTTAAAGAGCAGAGAAGTAAGAAGCTGGCACATCAAGTACACACCACTATTGACTAAAAGCATGCAAGCTTACAGAAGACACCCTTGATTTTGAAGCTGCTACTAAAGTGAACAGCCACACCCAAAGTCCCTAACTGGGCTTTGATTTGTGTTGTTTTTTTGTTTTTTCAAGTAACTCAAATTCACAGCAGAATTCAACCACTTTTTGAGCTTTTGTTTGGAGATACAACATCAACATAAGCTTTTGCAAGGAGATACAGAACTGTGTAAGTTCTTGGCGAAGAATAAAAGCTTATCCCAGAGGACTAAAAGGTTATCTACCAGGTAAATAATAGTTGATGGAAACATTGTTTTAAAAAAGATAATCCAGAATAAGCAAGCTTAAAAGGTACAAAAAGTTTATAAACACATCCTCAATAAATCAGTTTTGTTTGTTGTTGTTCTTTTTTTAAAATCATTTAGGGGACTGGAGAGATGGCTCAATGGTTAAGAGCACTAAGAGCACTCATTGTTCTTCCTAAGGTCCTGAGTTCGATTCCCAGCAACCACATAGCAGCTCACAGCCATCTGATACCCTCTTCTGGTGTGCAATGTACTTGCACACAAAGCAAAGCATGCCCTTAATCCCAGCACTCTGGAAGACTACATAGGTGAATCGCTGAGTTCCAGGCCGGCCTGGTCTACAAATCAAGTCAGGGATACAGAGAAACCCTGTCTCAAAAAAAAAAAAAAAAAAAAAAAAAAAAAAAAAGAAAGAAAATTATATAAAAACAACCATGTAGGCCCTTAGTTGATGCTTTGTAATATAATGTTAATCCTGCATGTTCCCCTGACTTAAGATTTTAAGGGACCATTGTGCAAGCAACAGTTTCCCACACCTGCCATTCTCTAGTAGCTAGCGGTTTCTAGCAGACAGCACCAGGAATGAAGGAAAGGGTTTGTAAGTTTCAGTGTTACCAAAGGGGGAGGGGACAACGGGCTGCACACACACTTCCAGCGTATGAATGATTTTAACTCACCAGTCACCATGGAAAGGGTTTGTAAAGTTTCAGTGTTACCAAAGGAGGAGGGGATAACGGGCTGCACACACACTTCCAGCGCATGAATGATTTTAACTCACCAGTCACCATGTTGCATATATGTCTGCTGCTTGTCCTGAGTTCTTAAGACTTCTAACATTCTGAAGAAGATAGAACAAAGAAGTTCCTTCCATCCTCAGCCTCTTTTTAAGTTTTAACTTTGTTCTTAAAAAAATACAGTGTATTAAAAAAAACATTACTATCAAATTTGATTTCTACTATTAATTCATTTAGCTTGCTTTTCCTCAACCTTAATAGGCCTGAACTGTATAATAAATTAGCAGATGTTTTGTGTTAGAAAAGAGGTGCGTATTTCTTTCTCACAAACCTAGAATTTCCTGGACACCAAATCACAGCGCTGGGACAAAAGAAGAAAAGAAAAGCTGAGGAGTTAGGTCACTTGGTTTTTATAGTGACACAGGCAGATTTTAGAAATTTCTGCTGGATATTTTAGAAATTAAAAGGGGGGGAAGGCAATTCTGATCAAGTTTATCAATGTTAAGAACGGGCCCTTATTCCGGAACAGAAAAAGCAAGCCCCTCCCACCCAGGCGGGGGCGAGGGGGGGCAGCATTTATGGCTTTAAAGCGGAATTTTAAAGCTCAGAAAGCTTGGTACCATACACATTAGAGGATCTCTTTACGGAGCGCGCAGAGGTGACGTGTATCAACTGAGCTTATGGGCGAATTGGTTTCTGATGGAAGAAAAGCAGGTACTAACGAGGGGCCTTGTAATATCAACCTCTCCCTGGGCACAAAGCCCCGGTACAAGGTGAAAAAACCCAAGGGGACCCAATGCCCTCTCTGGCCAATAAGACCCGGTTGCCGAAGCAGGGTAGCACCCTCCCCAAGCACCCACCCAGTACACGGGCCTCGCTTAAATAACAGCATTCTTCAGTTAGTACGAGCAATCGTGTCTGCCTCACACAGGAGCGGAGCCGCAAGCCGGGACAGCAAAGCCGCTAGGTTTCTCTGCAGCCCTAGGCCACCGCTGCCCCGGACGTCACCGGAGCAGGAAGGGCCCAACCCTCCACGTTCCCCACGCAGTGAGTCGGTCGTCCGCCAGGCTGCCGGCCCTCGGTTCAAGAGGGGCGTCCTGCGCGCACTCGGGACAGCCCGACCAACCAACAGAAGGGCGCGCGCCGCAAAACCGGGGGTCGCGGAGAGGCGCGCGCGCCCCGGAAGCCGCTCTAGGCCCACGGCCCACAGCTGCGAGCCCACGGGAACGCGCACGTCGAGCGGCTACGCGCAACGGGAGGACCGCACAGCGCGCGCGTTACCGCGCGCGCGCAAAGAAAAACACACGCCCGTGCGCGCTCGCCGCTGCGCGCGCCCGTGCGCCGCGCCCACCCAAAGCCCAGGCCCGCCCCTCCCCCACCCGCGGGGCGGAGGCACGCGAGCCGAGGGACGTTCTCCGCGCCGGAGCCGCGCCGAGGTCGCCTGGGCCCAGCGGCAGCGGCCCGCCCGCCCCCGCCCGCCCGCCCGCCCGCCCGCCCGCCGTTGTGTGGAGTGGGCCTGCTGAGCCAGGCCCACCGCCTTCCCGCGTCCCCGCCCCCACCAGAGCCCTCACCCGGCGACGCCACCGCCGCCGCTGCCTCCGCTCTACCCGCCGGCCCCGCTTCACCGCCCGGGGCCTCGGTTCTGCCGTCGCCGCTCCCAGACCGACAGGATTTTCTCCTCACAGCTCCCTGGGCGCCATCTTACATTCAACCCTCAGAACCAATGGGAGCTGAGTGCTCCTCTCGCGAGAATCTAGGCGTCGGGTCCCGCGAGAGTGGCCGGTCGGACTTAAAGGGGACGCTTCGGAAGGAGAGGGAGTCTGGAGGAACTGAGCTTGGGATCCCTGGCTGTGGAAAGGGGCGCCACGCCCATGGACGCCCCTCCGTTGGGGGGGGGAGGGCTTAGGCCTGCGGCTCAATACCCCGGGGTTATTTTCCTCAGGCCCGGGGGTCTGGAAGCGTGCTTCTGGAACCCACCTACGGCGTCCCGCTGGCGCCTCCCCCGGTAGCACCGCTCCTCGCGAGGCGTGGCCCGGCCTACCTCGGCCTCGTGGTTAAGGTGGCCCCCCGAACGGCAAAGCTGGGCCCAGGTCGCACAGTTGCACCGCAGCTGGGAAATGCTCGGGGTTGCTGCTGTTCTGGAGAAAACAGCTTCTGCAACGCTCACCATCAGCTGCCATCTGAGATCAGCCTACCACAGTCAGGTCCACCTTAAAGCGGGCCTTGGGCAGCCTGGTGTTTGTATACAGGGAAAATGTGGAAGGCTTTAAAGCTGCAGGCACTCACCTACAGCCTCCCCAGCAGCTCACGTCAACCTAGAGAGCAGTCAGCCTGTGGTCGACCCTTTCTGCCTTCTGTACTTGTTCTTGACCCTGCAAACTCCAGTCTTAACACCCCTCAGAAGTCCAGCTTGGTCAGGACCCTCAGCATCCAGGGAGACTTGGGTTTCTAAACTTGAAAGGCCACAACGGCACGTATGCTTTATCTCACTGTGCATAAGCAGTAGCTGTTAATTATACTAGGGAACCATCCCTCCGTGGGGCTGGTAACTGTGGAGCAGCATCTCTGGAGCCCTCCGGTTTATCACTTAAGAGCAGATCTAATCCCAGCTCTGCACCTGCCTTTGAGAGCCAAGAAGTGCACTAGTGGTTTAGTTACTGCTTGTGTCCTCTGTTGGGGGAAGCCCTTTCTACCTAGTACATGTGTACGCACCATCACCACCAGCTCACACACAGCATGTCTCCAGGGTCCTCAAATACTAGAAAGGCAACAGCACACAGACTCCATGGAGATTTAGTAATTCTTTATTGAAATGGAGTATGGGGTGATGAAGACACCCCCAGCCTCTAGGATGAGGTAGGTCCACATGCTTTCAGTTCACACCTTTCCTGGATCTTCCTTCAGTGTGACAGTTCGGTTGAAGATAAGCTGAAAGGCAAGAAAAATGAACAACAGCCCAGAACCAGGCCCCTTAACTCTCCCTCCCACCCATAGCCAAGGAGGTGATGAATCAAGGGACAGAACATCATGGTTCTGAATAACTGTACTACTACTGGATAAGGGGCTAGACGACTGTGCTGTGCCTTAGTTTCATGAGGATTATAGCAACATCTACGCACAAATGCTACTGTAAAGAATAAAAAGGTTAGGGTCCCTATAAAATTTTGTGCTTGGACCTAACCCTCTGAGCCAGTTTCCTCAAAAGTTAACACATGAATACCCTCCCTTAACTGGTGACAGCTAAGGGGACATAGGGATTTTAAACAGTGAACAGCCGCCACCATCAGTATTGAGAAAGGCGTAGGTGGGTAAAGTTAAGCACCTGTCCTTGTTGGCTATCGGGATCTACAGAGAAGTATCCAAGGCGCTCAAACTGAAACTTGTCAAAGGACTTTGCCAACGCCACAGAGCAGTCCACTAATGCTCCTTCCACCACGTGTAGCGATGCCTGCAGACAGAGAATTCAGGTAGCTATACAGCTCAGAGGGCCACCACCCTCAACTTACACGCCATGAGCCTACCGGGTTCAGGTCACTTAGGAATCCACCAGGCACTTCAACAGGGTCTTCAGGGTTCTTGTGCTGGAATCTGTGGCCAGAACGGGAATCAGACCCCAGCTGGAGAACCACAGCATGCAATTCCCACCTTGTGACTGCCCCAGTGCCAGTGATGTTCACTCACAGTCGCTCATAGAGGCGAATCTCACACACCAGAGGTTGTGACACCCAATGAATAAAGGCCTTGGGCTTCTCTCCAGTATCAGCTCTTCTGCAGGTCACCTCCAAGCATTCCACACAGCCACTAGAGCCCTAGAAGTAAAGAAGAACCAACACTAAGATTGCCAGCTACACTCAAATCTTGGCTCTAGCAGGCACTGTCTGGAAAGATTGTGTCTGCCTCTTACCTTGACAACGTGCTGCAGCTCAATGACGTAGCCAGTATGTCTCAGACCCACAGGCTGGCCCCAGGCCAGGCGCTTATAGCCTGGCTCTGACTCCTGGAGAAAAGAAGCACAGAAGTTACAGAAGCTGCAAACATCTTGCAAGTATAAGGCTTCTCCCAACCCCAAGTCTGTCAGAGATTGGTTCATGGTAGAGCAGGGAGGAGATGTACTTACCGAAGGGATGAGGATACTAAAAGACCCCCAAAACAGACATAGTAGTAAACCCCTATTTACCTCCTTGAAGTCAGTTCTCTCAATGAAGACAGTGGAAGCAAAAGGGATCCGGTGGAAACCCTTGGTCTCATCAGCTGGGAAGTTTGGCACTTGAATGTCCAAGGGCTGTAGCAGGAGATAAGTATCCGAGTCACCCCAGATACCAAGACCCCCATACCCAGGCACTTACATACTGTGAAGTCACATACACTAAGGTAGTAGGCCCACCTTGGAAGCAGGAAAGTTAGTGATGACAACTTTTAGTGGCTCTAGCACAGCCATGGCTCGTGGAGCTGTGTCATTCAGCACATCACGCACACAGGCTTCCAGAAGATGTGGTTCCATTGTGGTCTGTGCCACAGTCACCCCCACCTGCCAGGAAAACTCATCAGTCATAGCCACAACCACAAAGCCACACTTAGCCTGTTTCTACCCACTCGGTCCACTGGATTATACCCGAGCACAGAAGTTGTTGATAGCCTCAGGTGGAAAACCCCGGCGTCGTAGGGCTGTAAGTGTGAAGAGTCGTGGATCGTCCCAATCCCTAAAAATAAGAGGATTGTCAGAAGCCCTTAAACAACACAAGCCACTAGTACTACAACCTCTGGTAAACCCAGGGTCTGTCCACACCTACCGAACAGCACCAGCTGCTACAAGCTGGAGAATCTTCCGTTTTGAGACAACAGCATAATGCAAGTTGAGACGGCCATATTCCCACTGAACAGGGCAATAGACATCCAGTGCATTACATAACCAAAAGTAGGAAGACCGTCTAGGATGGAAGAATAAGGTTAAAACTGGTCACCTGTGTGGCCAGGAAGAGATCGTAGAAAAGGCACTAGAGGGTTCAGCAGGTAAAGACACTGAATGCCAAGTCTGAAGAACCGAGTCATATCCCTGGAACCTACTTAGTGAAAGAGAGAGCTGACTCTCACAAGTTGTCCTCTGATCTCAACACATCTGCTGTGGCACCCACATACCCACTCACAAGCATATACACACTCTAAACAAAAAAGGAACCCCCCTGACCCTACCCATCCCATAACCTCAGCCTCCTCACCGAGCCTGGAATTCCTTGGTACATAGTGAATGGGTGATGTGTTCAATGGAGTCACAAAGACAATGTGTATAGTCGTAGGTAGGGTAGATGCACCTGTGGAACATAGACAGTAGACCCCATCAGCCAGTCCCTCTGCCTTGCCCCATTGGCTACTGCCCTATCCACAGCCCTGCTACCTTACCACCCGTCCCCACGCCACTATGTACCATTTGTCCCCTGTGCGATGATGTGGTGTATACTTGACTCGATAGGCCACAGGGTCCATCTTACCGTCCTCCATCACCAACTTCATTCGAAGTGTGGCCTCACCCTCTGCAAATTTGCCCTTGCGCATTGCCTGAGGAGAACAAGGTCACCTGTAAACACAGGAGCATTTTGTGCTTAGCACACTGGCCTACCCAAACCAAGCTGCCCTTCCAGGACACCACCTCAAAGAGCAGCAAGGATTCCTCAACAGGCCGCTCCCTCCATGGTGAAGGTAAAGAGTTGTGGCCTTTGAGCTCCTCCACTCTCTGGTGACACACATAAGCTTGACCCCTGCGAAAAAGGGACATGAATGTGCAGGTGGCCCATGACCTAGTCAGCTAACCTGGCTCAACTTTATGGGCCTGGCCTCACCTGTGGATGAGTTCCACAGCCCAAGCATACAGCTGATCAAAATAGTCCGAGGCATACGTCACTTTGTAAGGTGTGTACCCTGGGATGGTAGAGACAGACAGTGTGAACAGCCAGCAAGAAACAGCAACGGGCAAAGCCATGGCCCACCACCAGCCCAGGCCTCACCCAGTCCATACCCAGCCAGGTCACCATGTCATAAATAGCAGTGAAGAATTTTGCTTCTTCCTTCTCAGGGTTGGTGTCATCAAAGCGCAGAAAACAGATACCATTGTTGGCCTAGAAGAGTTGGAGCATCTGTGAGCTCCCAGAGCCATCGGCCCCTAAAGTCCACATCAGCAAACTCAGACATTCTCAGAGCTCGAGCTTATCAAAATGTAAAATGC